TTGCTTTTACTTCTAACATACACTGAGTATACTTCAAGACATTTAATGATGCAGAATAGTTGGTAATTCAAAGTCCTCTTGTGCATTGAACTTGTTTCATATACATGTGCAATAATTCTCCTTTTTTCATCAGTACATAATTGTATATTATGCTTTAAATTTTCATTGATGTAGTAAAACAGGAAAAAAGAGTAAATGAAATGGATCTATCTTTAATTGTTAAAGTGCCAGTAAGAGAGTTCTTGTGCAGGGTAAGGGCAGTTCCACCAGCAAAAATCTCGAGGCCCTTTGTGTCGGATGTGGATGGGAAAAAATCCTCAGAAAGAAATAGTTCTGAAATGGACTCTGAAGAAGATAACAGAAACCTCAGCATATCTGTTATGCTGTCGAAGCCAATTTTAGCTTTGGAGCTTAATTTTCTGAAAATGAAAGTGGATGTTCCTACAGTAGTAAAACTGTAGGTTGGCGTATGCATATCGTCTAATTGAAGTCATAAAATCCAATCTATATACTCCACGGAAAAAATTCTAACATTTCAGATTTGGAAATGTTGCCGTTTTTGGATAAAGTGGGCTGCTGAATATAACGCTAAAATTCTGTATTGAGTGCTTTTAGAATCTATTTATGATCAGTAGAGATCATTACTTGTATAGGTGGCAGTGGGCCATTTATTTGTAGTAGAATAATGCTATTTATCCCTATTAGAGATGAAAATCAGTTTCTGTGGCAGGTGTTAGGTGATGTGATATGAAATGATAAGGTCAGTTAAATGTATGGACATAAGACTCACTTTATTGGTCTTATAAGTTAATACCACATCCTGTAGTTGTCATCTCCAATGGAGATAAATAACGTCACTCATTACTATATGATGTGATAAAATGCATCACAACTCCATTAAACATGCCATTTAGATCGGCGATGATATTTGTTAATGATGAATAGTATTGCTCTTGCTTTTGATATAACAAAATACTCTAGAATGTCACGTGATGATTGATGAACACGCTATGGTACAAATACTAAAATATTCCATATGCTAAACCAACAAGTTTGTGAGTGAAATGTCGTTACCGTGTGTCGTCTGTGACAATTTTATTGGTAGAATTGTCTCGATATGGCTTGACAATGTTGAGTTTGTTCTTGAGCTTGCGGATTGTGGTGCACCAAGTGATTCGTAAAAGGTATCAGCAGTTCAATCAATTGACGATATGAAGCAAATGAGTAATTTTTTTTCAACACCTTGTCTCGAATGAAATGAATAACAATTTTAATATGTTTCATTGAGCATGAAAGACTAAGTTTGTAGCTTGGGCACCAACTTCTTGATTATCATACCACACAACAGGGGCGAAGGGAAGACAGACGCCATGTTTACAAAGCAACAATTGAATCCAAGTAATTTCGACACTGACGTTGGCGAGTGCTCAATATTCGAATTCAGTACTAGAGCGAACAACTACCGTTTGCTACGTTAAGCTCCATGAAACGAGATTATTTCTCAACTACACAGTCACCACTGATTGAGCATCTATCATCGACACAACACGCACATTCGGCAACAAATATTCAGCTTTGGTGGAGAGAAATGTGCGCCTTTACTTAATAATGGTACCATTAAGATGTTGAATAGAAATGGAAATTGCCAAGGCCTTTCGTTGCCTCGTCACGACTTCGAGTTTTTATATTTTATGTTTTCAAATTAAGTATTTAAAAAATAGATAGGTAAATGGAGAAACAAGACTGGAAATGGAGATATTTTGATTCCCGTTCTTTTGAAAATTAGAAATTCTAATTCTATTTGATCATAATCAATTCACAGAAAGAAAAAAATGAACATTCAAGAATACGCAAAATTTATAGAGGATTGCCTTAATATATCTTCTTTCATCAATGAAATAATTCACTATAATAAATTGTCACTACAATAATTCACTACGACGAAAAGAAGTTCATAAGATAGTTGCACATCTATCTTTTCGAATCTCTCTCTTTTATGATGGTTATCAAAAGTCTAATGACGACTCCCTATATAAAAACAAATTAGAAGAAAATCGAAATTTATAATGATTCAAATTCCTAAAATGAATTTTACAGGAACACAGATTCCTAAACTGTCCTTAATGAAATTTTGGTTTAGGGGGCTCCTCCCCTTATAGCCCCCCTTCCAATTCCCATGACAACCTCACTGCAGAGGTCGATATGCGATTGACTGTACGAAATGACAATAATTAGACTCCAGAATTTAATATGTCCTACCTTCGGGAAATCTCCGTCGACCAGAAAATGCAAGGATAATGACTTGCATCTACATGTAAGGAGTGGGACAGCTCCATTTTGGTTCAATGAAGCAAGTAGCAATGTTTTTAGACAAATAGATGGGAGTACAGTGTTTTGATGAGCCCCTATACCCAAATAATAATGCAGCGGACCAAGAATGTTTTAGAGCAACTTTATTGTTGAGCAGAATCGATAACTTGATCAAGAAGGATTCTATTGTTGCATTCAAGGTATAAAACATTTTAAGGGCTTGAAATAATATTCTTAATAAAGTTCACATTTCAAAATAGAATCCCAAATCTTAATATGGTATAGAATTCCTTAAACTTCAACGACCAAATCGATTCGATTAAGATTTAAAAAATGAGCACGCGAATTTCAAGATTGATTTGCTCACACAAACCACCATCTTACGGGAATATGTTAAGGAATAAATTCATATTGAATAAAGATGAAAATATAAACAACCATATTATGGTTTAGGTTGCTTCTCTTATTAATATTAGTCTTTTAAGATGGAACTACAAATCTTAATATGGCATTAGAATCGATTAAGTTTCAACAATTTAGAGAAAGAGAACAGGATAGATTCAGAGGAGCTAAGAGGGAACATTGCATTTTCCTTTTATTTCTTTTCTTTTTTAATTTAATTTTTAAAATTATTTTATGTTAAAATTGTAAAGTTATTATTTTGTCCTTTTTTATATTTGATCAAAGTAAAAGTTTTTGATCAACTAACGGTCAAATGGATGTAATCCATCCACATGTCTTTCTACTGCAATGAAATGAAAGGTTTTGGATTTTGGTTGGCACAAATGAAATATTTGTGTAAAGTCCAATTGGGATCGTGACTGCAATTCTCCTTAAATTTTTAGATTTTTTTTTTGATAAGAACTTATCATTAATCAATTGGATAAAACGATTACAGACGAAACAAGCCAAATAGCTTGAGACACAGTCTGGAATACTATCCAGAACACAACGAAGTTACAACTGTGACTTATCAATACAGGAGAACCCGACTACAAGTCAACTAACGCAATCAGCACTATAGCACCCCCGCACACAGTGACGGGCATTGTCTAAACTTCAAAGATCTCAGAGGAGAGAGCGAACACACAAAAACACCAACTAAAAAGAGAAAAAACAACAAAACAAATAATCGAAACAAAACAAACTAAAGCAGAAAAACAAACAAACAACACAAACACCACCCTAACCCTAAATTTTTAGATTTGGACCAACCATTTTGGATAAAGTAGGATGCTTAAATACAACCATAGATTTTTGTATTGATTGCTTTATATTAGTTACATAATGTCACGTGTAGATACTATGCTACAGAGATTGACATATTCCATATGCTAAATCAACTAGTCCGTGTGTGTGAGAGAGAGAGAGACACATATGTTGCAACTGAGCGTGCCATGTGTCACAATTTTGTTGATGGAATTCTCTCAATAGCCACACGCCATCATTAGATGGATGGTTGAGGTTCCAAACAATATACGGCCTCCGTCTGAATATTGATAGATTCTTAAAAAATTGCGAATATTGAAATCAATGCTCCACAATAATTTTAGGATAAATCTATACGTACATAATTATTGTGCATAATAGAGTACATAAATCCATGTGGAAAAAATCCGACAGTGGATGTAAAGTGTGGAAAAGTCAAAAATTGTAGACTGTCGACAGATGCGCACCACATGTCAATTATGTAATGTATTATGTAAATAATTATGTACTTGTAACATGGTCCATAATTTTAAGCTGGCATCGCCAATTTGTCGGCAAGACACATTGGAGTCGTCCAACCAATCATTATTGTATACACGATCCACATAGCAATGCCAAAGCTTCATTTTTAATGCATCCGATACACTATAATTTTTAGAACTTATTTAATAAGTGTTTATATTCGATTTTAGATATAAAAAAATCGAAATAAATATAAATTAATTCCCGACCGTTTATAATTTTTTATAAACAATTCCAAAATATATGTTTAGATTCATTATTTCCTCTCTTTTTCTTTAATGAACTTTTTGAGTCCCACATATTAATTCTCTCCCCAACCTCAGGGATGATCAAGTACCCAACCAGTGAGTTGCGTGATGGCTATTCCTTCAGGGAAAAAATAAAAATGATTCTGGGAGCTCGACAAACTATAAAATTAAGACAAATTGCCTAAAACAAAAAAGGTACATATTTAGATTTAAATAAAAACATAAAAACTTTTTCACGTGAAAAACAATAATACATAAAATTTCATAATCCATCTTTGATAATTTTTCATTACTTGTATTCTCAAGACACTGTCATTTTCTTATTCTCCCCTAATTTAACCACCATTTTATCTTTTCTAACACGAGTTAGTTTAATTTCCTCAATTTTCAATTCTCCGTGCACTACAAAATTCTTCAATTTTCAGTCCAGATTATCCTTCAATTTAACCTCAATTTAGTCAACAAGCCACCCATTCCCATTCACCATTAGAGCTCAATTGCTTAATAAAGATCGAACTCACCCTAAGACTGTGTAAAGCAAAAGGGTCTCGAACGTGGTTAGAAGTTTCTCGATGCCACCGGTGAACGGAGAGGTTCATCAAGGTCTCAACCTGGGGATATCAATAATTTTGTGGTCCCCTCCCCCAATTTCAAGCACATTTTAAGATTAGTGTCATTTTTACCAGATGGATGGATGAAATGGTGATAATTTTATTGTGGTTGTTTAATGGCAAAATCTTGCTCGTTGGCTCTCCGATAAAGCAAAGCTGATGCTTCCACCCTGCACATATTATTTAGTAGAAAAATAAAATTCAAATGTCAAAGAAATTAATATAAAGACCACTAAAAATAATCAACTGCAATTCTTACCAGCCAGGATGCACAACAAATCTTCCTGTGGAAAGGGCCCAGTTCACCTGTTTTGAATAACTTAAAAAATCAGACATTGTTTACCACCAAAGAAAGAGAGGCTAAACCAGAAAAGAGCTTCAGATTGAATGAGAAAAATAATTTCTGTAATTGCTCAGGGCGACCAATCACACTGGTTTGTCAAACCAACCTTATCAGTCCCAAGAGAATTGGCAACTACATGGGTGACCTGCTCATCTATCTGATTAGTGCAAACGGCACCAAATTGTTCAGCCGTCTGCCACAATGGATGCATGTGAGGATTTGTTTCACCGACTGGAAATACTCTGCTGAAGACAATGCGGCAACCAGCCAGAATCTTATGTTGTTCAGAAGCTAAGATGTTTCTAACATCAGCTTCATCTAAGGACTGATGTGAAAAAAAGGCCTCGTGTATTCTCTCTATAACCTATATTTAACAACAAAAACCAATCAAACACTGAAGGTAGACTAGGCATCCACTGCCCCTATCATTTTGACCAAGTCCACTCTCGAGTTTATATTAACCAATCACAAAGTCATGCCATGCAAGCTAAACATCTCACCGCAAGAGAAGAGGCCAGAGTCCCATCTTCTGGTCTCTCATCATGATCAATCTCAAGGAGAGAAGGGCCGGGCAGCCCAAATTGCCGTCTACTACATGGAAAATAAATATACCTGATGAAGAAAAAACAATGAATATTCAATCATAAGAATCAAGGAGTAAGTGTATAGATCAAGCAGTAAAATCTGTGGAGCAACATCTTTTTCTCCTTAATAAGACAAATCTATACCGTTCAACAGCTATCAAGTTTAGTTTATTGTGTGGCCAGACTCGCACAGAATCATCTATAATTACGACAGCTGACTCCATACCCAAGACACCCTCCAAGTCCTTGCTCTTGGGAACCCTATCTTCACTATCAAAAGAATCACCATCATCACCACGAGAGATGACTCGACCAGCAAATAACTCCCCTTTTGGATCAAGTAGTTTAGCCATCTCTGTGGCATAATACTTGTTCCCCATGGTGTACAGATGCAGTTCATATAGCTTACTAGCCTAAAATGGCAAGAGCAGAAGCTTCAGGCAACATTCAAGGGACCAATAGTGATGCAAATCAAAGTACAGAAATAATATTATCACCTTCTCCAAGAAATTCCATATCCCTGGTCGCAATTTGGTCCACATTCCCATATGAGGAAAGCGAAATAGATGCCTGTGAGGCTTTTCACGATCTTGTTCCTCTTTCTTTCTCAAGATTTCATCATGAGGCGGATCTACTTCAACAAACTGAAAAGGAAACAGAAGTTTGTGAAAATCTGTTTCATAAAACCAATATCATAATCTGGCAGTTCTCAGGCTTGCATTAAATTTACTATCAGCAGAAAAAAGTCCATGCCTTGGCCGAATTTAGAAGTGTGTGATCCAGATCCAAGACAAGACAGAGCTTGCGAGCACCAAACATTTTCTTCTGTTCTTCAATCCTCCGTGTCCTTTCTCTCTGAATAGCTGCTTTTTGCTGGTCATCGAATCCCTCAAACAGATGATCCACATCCGCCCACGCATTCTGTGGTCGTGATAAGGCTGCAGTCACTTCTTGAGAAGCTAAGCCAATTCCACTTCTAAGGTTGCTGGACTCAGACACTACACCCTTAGTCTTCATTTTACCTTGATAAACTTGTGCTGGTTGTGATGACGAAGCCTGAGGAACTATTGGCGGAGATATAGATGCTTGAGATGCAGACAGGATGTCTGCGATGTTTTTCAAGTTTTTAGTGAATTGCCGTGTAATATCAGGTGCAGCAGTTGGACTTGAAAACACGGACTTCCTATCCAACTGATCCTCCTGCTTTTGGGCACCCAAGCTGCTCGTCATTCCCTGACTGACTGCAGGATTAATTTTCGGTTGATCAAGTCCCCCAGTCCCACACTTCTGAGATGTACCATTATGAAGAACACGGCGTGGGTCACGAGGTTTCATGCGCACTTTTCCAGATTCTTCCTGCAAAAGACAAATTGCAAACAAAATGAAAATTAACATTTGATGAGCAAGTAACAATAACAAAAAATTTATTGACACAGGAAATTTTCCTTTATTTCAATTTGATTTAGAACCTTGGAGTTTAAACAGCTCGGGGAAGTTACATTGTCATGTTTAACTTAATATTATTCCTAGTAGACGTTAAATTATTTGATACAGAATTATACTGGAAGGATTCAGTGGCCGAGCATGGCAGCATAAAATTTTGAATAAAAAATAGAAAGAAAAATAAATAAATCTGTCAAGACTGCAGAGAAGACAATATATACAAACACCACTAGACAGAAGGCAGACAAGACATTAAAAAGAGTTCATCAAAAAATTATAATGTGCATAAATGCCTACCATAGAAACTGCCTGCAGAGGAGACTTAAGTAATCCTGCTGATAGGTGTCCAGCCACTGGTGGCTTGAATGCAGGTACTTTAATTGATGGAACTGCTCCCAGTATAGAATTTGAGGTTGGTGGTGATGTCACACTTTTGATAGAATCAACAGACTTTAACTGTTCCATCTTAAGTATGTTCATCCATATAGATGGGTTCCCAGCTATATCTTTCAACAGAGAATGAAGGGAAGCTGTATTATTAGGATCTGTCACTGGCAAGCTTGGTAGGCTTGCGAATGGACCTGTTACCGGTAGGCTTGCGAATGGACCTGTTACCGACAGGCTTGTGGATGGACCTGTAGCTGGCAGGCTTGTGATTGGGCTTGTTACTGGTAAGGTGGCACAGGAACCTACACATTGGAACTTCTCATTTCCATTGCCTTTCTCAGTAGTAGTAATACTGCTGGAACTAATGCAAGTTACTGTATCTTCCGATTTTCTCATATCAATTCCAGAGTTTCCATTTTTTACCTGCGTTCCAACTGATCCTCGGTCCTCCAACCAACCACCAGTTCCAGTAACAGTATGCAGACCGTTTCTTTGCCTTTTCAATGCAGGACCAAACAAAACTGGCTCATTGACTGTCTTCTGCTTCCTTGAACTCATCATTCCTAAAGGCTCTACTTTGGGCTCAGTTCTCTCTATAGGTAAAAGGGATTTATTTAGGTCCCCGGCACCTGCATCAGAATTGACCAGTCTAAGCCTAGGGTCCCTACTCTTTGCCGATGAAGATTTCAACACAGGATTTGGCAAAGGAGTCATGGGGCTAGTGGTCCTAGCACTGCTATGTTCTTGTCCAGAAAAGATATCCATATCGGCAACAGAAGAAAAAGATGATTGTCCAATAACTGAGGTTTTAACAGGAACAATATTGCGAGGAATAGAAGCACTGGAAACCTCCCCACCAATATCAACATCCCCACTATCACCTTCTTCCGAAGGAGTTGGACTCGGAAGCTTGTCACTCATGAAAATGGAACTTCGACCAAATTTCTGTTGATAGGTGGAAAAAGCGTTGACGGCATCGGTTTCATTAGGATGTATTATAACATTTCCGCTCTCAAGAGTTCGTCTGGGCACAGGCCACTCTGGCTTCACCAACCCGTGTCCCAATACAAATCCTTTATCAAAGGGCAAAGATGGAGATGTTTCTCGGGTGGGTGATGGAAGACTATCGACATCGTGATCTTTATGAAGGTCTAGCAGGGGAAATACTAATCCTTTATGCTTATTAGCATTACCAACCAATGATTTCGCACGTTCTAATGAAACCCTACACTCATTTACAACTGATGATCCAGTAGACATAGATTCCATCTCACTCTTCTTCACGCTAGTTGAAACATTATTAGCGTTGTCAGATAACACGTCAGAATCAGTATTGATAGGCGCCTCATCTACTGGTTTGTCTATATCCACGTTGTTGCCTTTAAGGTCCAAAGAAGCAGCTGAAAAATCCATGGAAGATCTAATAACCTCCACCTGTGACACCCACACACCACAATCAGTTCTAATAGATACTAAAAATCCTACAATTGCCAGTTTGCCACACTGAGGAAAACCTCACCATTTTCAACTGCTGAAAGGAAAAAAGAGGCACCTTTGGACTCGTTACATGAGCAAGGAACCTGTCAACAAATTAAGAAGGATATCTGTAACCCGGCTATTAGGACATATAAAAAAGGTTCCCAAATAGACAACAAAATAATTACTATTAAAACCTTGACAAGATGTCCCTATTCTGTTCTTTTTGACTTTTATTCATGGAGCGGAACACCTGAAAAAACAACCTCCTCAGTCTTTAACTAGACAATTACAGAATTACTACAAAACTGAACCAGAACTATAGCTACACAAATGATGATGATTCTAAGGATGCGAAAAGAAAATTTATGGAGAAAATGTGGGGCATTATATACATTGTGATATCTTACAGAATAAACAATCTGAATTGCACCAAATAACATTTGAACAAGAGCATCTTTCTCAGCAATCAAACTTTCTGAACCCAATTCCTGCACGCTGTCCATCAAGCTTCGCAATCTCAAACACAGTCCATCAAATGATCTATCCAAAAAAAATAAACAATATTAATCACCCATAAGGCAGCATTCTGCAATACTAATGTTTCATCAATGCAACTGTCAATTCTTTTCAGTCAACTTACTTTTCTGCATCAACCGCAGTCAGACTCTCGAGCTCTTTCTTAATCAAATCAAACTGCTTCTTCTCCGACTCAACATTCTGTTTTGAACCAGGCTCAGCCTCATTCTCAATCCCCATATTCTCCAGAACCCCCTCAGAGTCCAAATCAATCTCACCTTCCTCCAATTCCCCTTCCTCCTTCTCACCCTCGTCCTCTACATCAATCACAATTTTATTTTCAATCCCAGCAGATTCCACACACTCTGATTCCATCCGCTTCGAATTCGAGTTGCTGCTATTGTTATTATTGTCACTATTACTGTTATTATTAGAATTATCCTCCACCATGACTAAAACCTCATCAAGGGGCTTATTGTTGACAGCCTGAGCCCAAGCCAAATTATACAAGCCCGAATAATTCCTTGAAGTCATCTGATACTTGTACAGATCTCTCATAGTCCAAACCCTAGTTCCTGTTCCTCCAACACTATTCTGACCCTTATTATTATTGTTGTTAACATTAGTATTATTGGAAGCACTGGTAATCGGATTAACATTAATATTGGCAGACGACGGCTGCGGCTCTTGCTTAGAATTAAACGCCTCTTCGGTAATTTCTTCGATTGAGACGGAATCTGAGATCTCACCTTCCTCTACATCGAGAACTTCAACTGCTACTTGTGGTTGTTCAGAATCCCCTTCCATTTGTAAAAATACTAGGGTTTTCTCCTTAAATACTTGCGATAAAACGGTCAAATTCAAATCACCCACAAGCATATGTTAATTACCCAACAAATATCAGTAAATCAAAATAAATTCTTATATACAAGGAAGATCCCGAGTTTGCTGCAAAAGAATAACGATTAAAAAACGAAAAAGGAATGAAAAATAATTTCGTTCGAGAATTAGGGTTTCTGGAAAAAGGAAATAAATCGGAAATTTCTGAAGTTTCTAAAAGATCTGTGAGATTTGGGAGCTTTAAAAAAGATGATTCCGTTTTCAAAAATTCAGATCTAATTAGATGGTGAATCGAAATACTGAATGATCTTTGTAAATTCTTCTGTTCTGTTTAATTCAATTAGAAACAGAGAGAGATTGAGAGTGAGTAAAAGTAATCGGAGACCGAAGAAATAGAAAATAGTATAGTGGAGAGAGGAGAGGAAAGGAAAGAAAAATAATTAAATTGTAGAGACGGATTGGAATCTAAGGGTTGTTTGGGGGGTGCTGATTGAGTATCTGGACCGTACACGTCATCAAGGATCCGCGTTTTCTACAGTGGGATGGGACCAGAAAATCATTGGTGGCTGCTTCCCCTCGGAGCAATGGCTGGAATTATTTATTTTTTATATATTTTAAATCAAGGGATTTATATAATTATATTTGAAAATATGAGTGTGTTTGAGTTACATTATTTTGGAATAATGTATTTTAAAGTAATATATTGATGAAAAATGTGTGATTAAAAAAGAATGAAAAATTATTAATGTGATGGAAAATATTATTTTATTGAAAAATGCGTTGTTGAAAATGAGTAGAATAATGAGAATACAAATTTTAATGTGACTCAAACGGCGGCTATATTGGGGATTCGCATAAATGGTTTTAATCACGTTGGAGGTTAATTATTCGAATGGTTATCGAAATTTGCCAAGTGTTACTATTTAATAATTGAATTTAAAAATATATCAATGGTTACTGTTCTATAACTGAATTTAAAAATGTATTTACATGGTCACTGAACTACATACTGTGTTACCAATTCATCACTCAAGTGGGAGAATTTGTTAGGTTCAACAAACATTGCCGATTTGAGTGATGGATGCAAAACACTGTGCATAGTTTAATGACCATCGAAATACATTTTTAAGTTCAATTACTAAGTAGTAGCACTGGACATAGTTCAGTAACCATTGGGATGCATTTTTAAATTCAACAATTAAGTAGTAGCACGACATAGTTCAGTGAACGTTGAGATATATTTTAAAATTCAATTATTAAGTCCCTTGAATCGACCTCCGAGAAAGAAGAAATTAAATAAAACGAAGAGAAAAAAAGGGGAAACAGAAAATCAGAGACCTATAAATTGAAGAAAAATAGAACTTTTGTTGGTGTTCATTTTGAAATAAATGAATGATATTAATCTTTAACTAATAGTTTTGCTGCCAAATGGAGGATATACAATGTTAGATTGGTTTTGAATGATTTACATAGTCATTAAATCCTCGACTAGCATATCCTTTTCATCAGCAACTACTCACCATTAACTTGAATTATCATATTGTTCGATTCATTGGCTATTTCTCGTTTTTGTTTCTGGTCTTTTTGTTGTGCTTCTCTTGCTTCTCTTTGCCTACGGTGAAAAACATGTTTAATTTTCGGATCAAATGTATCAGTTCACTGTATCTTGAACTTCATATATGAAGCCTGAAAGAAAGATAGTGGGAACTTTAAAATAAATTAAAAGAGAAAAATTAAATAAAATTACAAATATGTTCGAATTAGTGCCAAGGTAACCGATGTCAATTTGAGTTTCTTCTTTTTTCCTTCATTTTCTTTAGTCCTTTCTTTCACGAAGGTTGATTTGAAAGAAAAAGAAATTGTTACTATTTAATAACTGAACTTAAAAATGTATATCAATAGTCACTGAACTATGCCAAATGTTACTACATAATAACTAAAGTTAAACATGCATCTCAATGGTTATTAAACATGCATCACTCACGTCGATGTCATTTTTAATCAATTTTCCCACTTGAGTAATGGATGAGCAACATGGTGCATAGTTCATTGATCATATAGATGCACTTTTAAGTTCGGTTATTAAATAATAACACTTGGCAAATTTCAGTGACATAACTCATCCATCGGGGCTTTAATATAACCTTCTTGGTCACCCGACTTAAGATTTAGTCTCAAATTGACCATTCAAAGTTTATAAGTTAATATACAAGTTTATGCTTTGTATCATAGTAATAACATGTCCAACCACAACTTATAGAAATGTTGAATTGAAAAACATAAAGATGATGGACATTAAGCCCTCGCTTGACAAATTGTATAAATCATTTATGTGTTATTGACGCAAAACCCCCTATGACGTGTCCCTATTATGGAATACAATCATATCCTTTCAGATTGACTGAAAACCCTCCTATATTTTATTTGAAATGCGAAAGACCTCCCTACTATTCATCCTCGTTAATATTGTCGTTAAGTTCACTTAAAGAGGGTCAAAATGAATAATTTTGCAATTGGGTAATTGGGGGCAAAACTCTCTTACCTTTTCCCCCTTTATTGCGAAATACCCTCTATTAATTAAAATTGGTGGAAAAATCTCCTAGATGATATTTTAAGCGTGGAATATCACCTTTTCGTTTATTTTCTGAAAAAGATTTACTAAGGCCCTGTTTAAACCAAATTATTGTAGAATGAGAATGAAAAAATATAGTCGTTATTGGAGACCACATAAGAGATAGAAAATTTGAATTTAAATGTCGATATGATGAATAGCGGTCATATTTTTCATTTTAATGAGATAATAATGTAGATCAAAGGGGGGCTAAATGATGAATATATCCTCATCTTTAAATAAAATAAAATAAAAAGAAGAAAAAAAAATAAAGAATTAATTGGAACAATAATCACAAAATTTTCAAAAAAAGAAAAGTACAAATGAGTTCCAAATAACTAATTAAAAATTAATATTAAAAATAAAAAATCTCTTTCTTTCTCACTTATCCCATTTTCTATCAGCACCTTCCAACAGAGTTTATGGTTAATATTTTACCCCCAAACTTGAAGTTTTCACATTCATCATTAGGGTCAAAAGAGTCTCACATTGAATATTGGAGTACTCAAACATTACCAATGTGCAATGGCTTAGGCAATGTATATGTCGAACGTAAAGAAATTTTATTAGGATCAATGGTTGAAATTGAGAAAACAGGCTCAACCTCAACCTTAACCTCAACATATTTACTAGGCAGAATTGTAGTAAATGTATCAAATGTTTTATTTTGTCTCAGACTTGACCTAAACTTTTCATTTGTGTTATTCACAGTGTCAAACTTTTCAAAAATTCGTACCTGAAGTCCAAATGGATGGAAATTATTAATTTGTCAGTTTGTTGACCGATATAGTAGAATTTTACCAAATATAATAAGGGCAAATTGGTAATTTTATAATTTTAATATGAAATAATTTAAAAATGAAATAAAAATATCAAAAAAAAGGAAAAAAAAATATTCTTCTTCCTCACACTTACGCACCCGCACCCTAACTCCACCTTACTAGGGACGGAGTCTAATGAAGTCCATGCAGGCACATACCAGCACAAAACTTTTGGGCCCAACCCAATGACCCAATTTTTTTAATGAATATATAATGCTCGCCCAAAACCATACCAATACCGAGACGGCCAAAAATTAGGCGCAGTACAATCCATTTTATTCAAAAATTCAGACGACCAGACCAATACCCATTTCAATTCATCACCTCTGCCTCCCAGTCCCAGTCGTTATTCTTTTTTCTCAAAACCCATATCCATTACCCACTTCTTCAACCTGAACGACATAACCCGTTGCTGTTCCTACTCGCCTCCATCCCTATTCGACCCCTAGAAGGTAGTAGATGGTGAGTTCATGACCGCTGGGCGCCGACTATTCTTTAGAAATCAACAGCAGCAGAAGAAAAATGATTATGCAGATATCCCTGATTTCATGACCGCTGGTGTCAGACCTGTCCCGAATCACCCTAGTGGACCCGAAACGTGACGTGTGCCGATGGTAGAAGCTAACTAGATGTCAGCTCCACCACCAAGGCTAACTATGAGTTGCTACAAACTATCAACTATTACATGTATATGAAAAAATATTGTGTA